GAAGCAGGCTCCCCGCTGAGCCAGGAGGCCGACGTGGGGCTTGATCCCAAGACCCTGGGATCATGACCTGAGCCGAAGGAAGTTGCCCAACCAACTGAGCCACCCAGGCGCCCTGTCACCGTCATTTTAAAAGCTTTCACTTAAATTAGAAGAAATAAAATTGTAACTTTTGAGGGCTAAATGTAGCTTATTGAGATAGTTTTATGTGTTTCCTGCAAAAAGCTCATGTGCTTCTTTCAGAGATGAGGTACAATTGAAATGTGCCCTACAGACCAATTAAAAAAATCTCTTTAGTTGGAGGGAGGAACTAAATGTAATGTTTATTACTAAGTGCTTATTGCATAATTGCAAGTTTGACTGGTTTTAGTCTTTCTTCTTACTTTTTTTTTAAGATTTTATTTATTTGAGAGAGAAAGAGGGAGAGCGAGTGAGTGAGAGAGAGCATGCGCTAGAGTGCACAAACAGGGGGAGGGGCAGAGGGAGGAGCAGACTCCTTGCTGAGCCAGGGAGCCTGACAAGGGGCTCAATCCCAGGACCCTGGGATCACGACCTGAGCTGAAGGCAGACGCTTAACTGAGCCACTCAGGCACCCTTTTAGTCTTTTTTCTTGGTATTACCTGATTGAAGCCTGGATCTAGAAATAAAGGATACATAGCTATGGTGGAAATTGTGCTCTGGTAATTCTCTCTCAGCTGTACCATCACAGCTTTTTGTGTTGTGCCAGAGGAAATTTTGTTAGGGTGCAGCATTGCCATCTGTCCTATATCTGATTTTTAAAATCTGACATGCAAAGTCTCACCTGCCAGAACCCCCATAATACCTGTAATAGAGGAAATACATAGCTCAAAAGGAACCGATACACATATATTCTAAAAATAATCTCAAACAGAATTGATGATTTTTTTAAATTGCTTTTAAAATTTCATTTGTGAGATATAAAGTCATAATTTAATTTTTCATAATTTTAATTAATGGAACAGAAGCTGGTGATTTGTAGGAGGTGATACTTTGTGGGTTTTGTTTTTTTTTTTTTTTTAGATTTCATATTGGTACTAATAGAAATCCATAACTTTTGAGCGCCTGGGTGGCTCAGTTGGTTAAGCGACTGCCTTCAGCTCAGGTCATGATCCTGGAGTCCCAGGATCTATCCCATGTCCAGCTCTCCCCCCCTTCTCATGCTCTCTCTCTCTCTCTCAAATAAATAAATAAAATCTCTTAAAAAAAAAAAGAAATCTGTAACTTCTTAGCCTGTGTTTGAGATCTTTTTAGATCTACATGATGAGTTAGAAATAAATCACCAACTCTTATTTTATAGACTTACTGTTTGTCTTGAATTATTAATACCCTTTGCAGCCTTTTTATTGGTCTTTTATTGCTGTTTGCCATTTCCACTAAGAAATGACTAGGCCAATTGTAAAATGAAGTTTTGTTTAACTTTATCAGAACCTTTTTAAAATACTTTATTTATTTATTTGTCAGAGAAAGAGCGTGTGAACGCACAAATAGGGGGAGTGATAGGCAGAGGGAGAAGCAGGCTCCCTGCTGAGCAAGGAGCCCAATGTGCGACTTGCTCTCAGGACCCTGGGATCATGACCTGAGCCGAAGGCAGCCGCTTAACTGACTGAGCCACCCAGACATCCCAGACAATACAAAAGCAATTTTTGATGGTAGATGTTTAAAGCAAAGGATAAAAGGATTTTTTTAATATGAAAAGGGAAATCAAAAGCCCTACTATAGATCTACTGTAGCCCTCTTCAAATAGGAATGGAGAACTTCTAAAAACTAAAACTTCACAAAGAAGAGTAAAAGTATGGAATAGAATGAAATTTGAGTAATACCTGTGGATCTTATGATTTTGCTTTATCTTATAATACAAATTCATACTCATTTGGGAATTTGCATAAGCTGTATGTGAATATAAATAATAGTAAATATACCTTAAAATTAGATTTTAAAATTGATCATTTCTCATTTGTCAGGAACAGTTATGAGTTATTTACAAATGAGAGGAAGAGGAACATATCCTCTTATTAAAGATTTTTGAAATATATTTTGGTGTTCAACTGGAAGAATCCATAGGTTAAAGCAAGGATGAATGTCTTCAAATTATTTTTCACATGTATACAGTGATGTATGCATCTCTTTAAAAAGGACTTTCTGGAGGCCTTTAGCAGAAATGGGCAAGTGCTATGGCCTTTTGAGCATAATTCTGTTAACCTTTATCATATTTGCTGTAATAGTTGGCAGTCTTGTTGACCATCAGATTCTTAACCTCAAGGTCAGTGGCTGATCCTGATTCATTTTTAAATCTCTAGTATCCACCACAGTCCCTGCTATGTGGAAAGCTCTTAAGAATTGCCTGCTGGGAAACAAACTGAGGGTTGCTGGAGTGGGGGGTGGGGTGGGAGGGATGGGGTGACTGGGTGATAGACACTGGGGAGGGTATGTGCTCTGGTAAGCGCTGTGAATTGTGCAAGACTGTTGAATCTCAGATCTCTACCTCTGAAACAAATAATGCAATATATGTTAAGAAAAAAAAAGAAGAAGAAGGTAGCAGGAGGGGAAGAATGAAGCAGGGGAAATCGGAGGGGTAGACGAACCATGAGAGACGATGGACTCTGAAAAACAAACAGGGTTCTAGAGGGGAGGGGGGTGGGTGGATGGGTTAGCCTGGTAATGGGTATTGAGGGAGGGCACATTCTGCATGGAGCACTGGGTGTTATGCACAAACAATGAATCATGGAACACTACATCTAAAACTAATGATGTAATGTATGGGGATTAACATAAGAATTAAAAAAAAAAAAGAATTGCCTGCTGAATGAAGCAAGTAGTTAATACATTTTCCTATTGAATGGTCCAAGAAACTTCTGGTTAGTACTGGCTGTAAATAGGCCTGCACTATAGAGGTGGTCTTGTGTCTCCTGCTGTACCCAGCATCCTGTCTTGTACTATACTAGGTATGCAAATAAATGTCATATTTTTCTTTAGACTTGTATGTTTGTTTAATGTTTGTGTATATATTATATGTAGATTTTTAGACCTATAGGAGGGGTACAGGAGATCTATAGTAGGGCTTTTGATTTCCCTTTTCATATTAAAAAAATCCTTTTATCCTTTGCTTTAAACATCTACCATCAAAAATTGCTTTTGTATCATCATGAGAGGATAATATATTTCTACCTACTTTTAACTAATTTTTTATTTCTTTGTGCTATAACTGTGAAGTTGCTTTGGTATCTGGTAGGAAGTAGTTTATAATAAAAAATAAAAATAATGTAAAAATGGACATACAAAATACACGTTGCAACTTTTTACTGTGAGATCCTACAGTCATAAACTTACCTGTCAGATTACCATAGCAGTTTCTAAATGCTTTTTCTCCATTCTTATTTGAAGACCAGTAATCTTGTCAGTAGACCACACTTCTGTTGCACTGGTTTAGAGTAAGAATGGAGACTTTTGAGTCAGAAAATTGGAACTTGAGTCTTGAATCTTGCTTTACTGTTTTAACTTGGACAGATTAATAAGTTTCCATAATATAAGCCCCTGATTTCTTACATGTAAATCAAAGGTAAGAAGTCTACGTCATGGAATTTTTTGAGATTAAATTAAAGTACATGTAAGGCATTTGGCATGTAGTAGATGGTCAATAGATCAATACAGTGGTAGTTTCTTTCCCTTCACTTAATTAACCAATGTAAACAGAAACATGTGCTTGTTAATTATGTGGAGATTCACAAATATTTTGTTTTATTTTGAAATGTGATGATGGCAGATCTTAGGTGGGTATATATGTTCATCAGAGTTTTTAGAAATATTTTTTCCCGGGCGCCTGGGTGGCTCAGTTGGTTAAGCGACTGCCTTCGGCTCAGATCATGATCCTGGACTCCCGGGATCGAGTCCTGCATCGGGCTCTCTGCTCGGCAGGGAGTCTGCTTCTCCCTCTCCCACTCCCCGTTTTGTGTTCCCTCTCTCGCTGTGTCTTTCTCTGTCAAATAAATAAATAAAATCTTTAAAAAAAAAAAAAAAAGATTTTATTTATTTAACAGAGAGCACAAGCAGGGGGAGCAGCAGGGGGAGAGGGGGAAGCAGGCTCCCCGCTGAGCAGGGAGCCTGACATGGGGCTCAATCCCAGGACTCTGGGATCATGACCTGAGCTGAAGGGCAGGTACTTAACCGACTGAGCCACCCAGGTGCCCGGTAACCCATGTTCAGTATGGAAAATTGGGAAAATACGGAAGAGTGTAGAGAAGCAGTGACAATCAGCATTATAGTCCTAAAGAGAATCAGTGTTAAGATTTTGACATATTGCCTTCCATTCTGTATGTATATGTGTTTATGCTCTTTTATTGTTCTTTTTATACTGAAAGAATCCATAGATGAGATCAAGGATGAATATCCTTAAAATTATTTTTTAACACGTATGCAGTGATGTATGCATCTCTTTAAAAAGGTCTTTCCCCTAGCTCTTTTTTCAAAATATAGTCTGTTTTTCCTGCCTGTTTTTTATTATGGAAAAATTCAAACACATGCAAGAGCAAAAGTAGTTAGAAAAGTATAATGAATCTCCCATGTGCTCATCAATCAGTTTTAACAATTATCAACTCCTGGCCAAGCTTGTTTCATCGATATTCAGCCCCCTTTTCCCCATTATATTTTGAAATAATTCCCAGATGTATTTAATTTTTGACATTTCCATAAGTGTCCAGTCCCCAATTCAACCAAAATAACCAGTGTTTTTCCTTTTTCCTTTCTCAAAAAGTGAATACCTTAAGGCAGTGGGATGAGAGTAGGTATAATTCTATATTCATTACTTTTTTATTTTTTAGTGGATCACCCTGGCTTTTATATGATATAGAGATAATAGAATTTGCTATCAGTAATATACTGTTTGCATGTAATTTTTTTTACATAAATGCTGGTTTATGGAATGAGAATGATTGGTACAGAATTTGAATTATATTTAAGGTCTTTTATACCATTTAAAATTGTGTTGGTGATTCCTTAAACATATATGCCAAGGGAAAAGGTGGAATGCTGTCACGTTTTACCAGCAGTCAAATTGTAAATAATTTTTTTCCTTAATGATCCTTTAAAAATAATTCTCTACTCCTCCCCCAACTGCTAAGGAAATTTTTTAATGCTCAAATTTGCCCAAACTCCGTATTTTTAAAAAACTACTTTTCAGTTTTCAGGGGATATATTCAGTTTGTATACTTTAATGTTTATGTTCTAAACATTTCAGTATAGAAATTTTCAAACAGATATATAAAAGTAGAGAAAATCATATAAGAAAGTACCAAGTACCCAGTTCAACAGCTGTTAATCTTATTTCTTCCATACCCCAATCCACTACCCCTGATTCAACCTTCATTATTTTGAAGCAAATCTGACATTAGATAATTTCATTCATAAATAACTGCATCAGTATGCTGTTTGTGAAGGTAACACTTAAACTTGTAGAAGTTTTATAACCATGCAGAATTCAGTATTTCAAAATTAGAATACAAGAGGATTATTTACCTGATACTGGCAGCAATTGCTATATGGTTCAGAGGAAGGAGACATTCCACAACTTCATTCTGGGAAGGCTTTATGGAGGAAGTATAATGTGTAATTGGTATTTCTGGGCTCTTGGGATCAGGGTTGGAGTCATGCATTATAGATCAGGTAAAAGGTATGGTTTGCAAAGGGCCGAAGAGAGAAACCATTCAGCCTTTCAGAATAGAGTGAATAAACCAAAGGTCACTAGGTAAGAGGAGGGGAAAGTAGGGTTTAAAGGTTTGGAGGAGGCTAGATGAAAAAGGATCTTACATGCAGGGCTAAGATGTTTGGCTCCCATTTGCTAATGGGTTCATTGAAGGCTTTTAAATTGGAACTGTGGTCAGAGTGGTGTTTTAGGAAGAGTAATTTGAATAGGTGAGAATGCAGAGACAAGCAAATAGAGTCACTTGGCCTCTCCTGGTGATTTAGACCCAAGGTGATAAAGACCTGATTTAGGCAACAACAATGGAAAGGAAGGATGGATTCAAAGGTGAGTATGAAGGAACTGGATTTAGTAACTGATAGAAGATGGGAGAATATAAGTAAGACAAGAGGAGATAAAATCTGCAGAGGAGGGCTGAGGATGGGTCACTTTAGAAAAGGCCTGCATGCAAGGATTGGGAGGAAAGGAATTAGAGAAGGGGAATGATTTGTAGGTAGATGTCTTTGTGTGTATGGCATTCAGCTTTGAAGCAATGGCATGTATTATTTGAATTAGTTGATTTGGCAGTTTTCTGATTACATGTTTTTGTACTGAAGTACAAAAAATTAATTTTAATTTCAGATCTTAGTCTCAGCCAAAACTTGACTTGTGGAGACAAAGTTAGAGAAATCTTTTTTTTTTCAATATGTATTCTGTAACTAACAAGTAAGCTTTAACATTGATTTATTTATATATTTTTAAAAGATTTTATTTATTTATTTGAGAGAGAGCACATGAGAGGGGGGAGGGTC